GTACCCCTATATTTGCTGTACGGGTATGTGCCGCTCGATAGGGTCCGTTTTTCGGAGCTCCAAGTCTGGGCTGATAGGGTATATTTTTTTTTTTCAACAATAGATTGTCGAGCATGGACATCAATAAAAAGCAGGATAATAACTGATGATAAACGTTATCCTTACGGTCGTTCACATATTGGCGCTGTCCTCTGTTGTTGGTGCAAATACAGCCACTTCCACTGGTATAGCATTTGGCATCACCGGTAAATGCAACCCAAAGAGCATGAGCAATTCCAGATACAATGGCCTGGATTGAAGAAATTATGCATGCAATGATGCACATCACAAGGAAACCGACCATCTGAAAATAAGGAAAATGATTTAAAAGTCAATTCTAGGAAATTTCATACTGACTCAACTGTTGAATGCAGGCAATCAGTAGTTTTGTATAAATTAGTGTGTTAGTCAGTTACCAATCCACGATTTYGCTTAGGCCATGCTGCAATTCCTAGCGCTCCAGCGATGATCAGCTGAAAACAGAAACAATCACGTGACATAGCGTGAATGATAAACCCTACAAGACTGGATTAAATGTGACTGATTGTTGTTACAATGATATGAATCAGTGAAAATATCAATTCTATTTATTGAGCAAAAAATATAAGTGCATTTGTATTCTAACACAAACAGATCAGTTACTTCTCCTAAGCCTTATTTTATTTCATTAATATAACAACAAGAGATACTGAAGGGAGCAGATTCCTGGAACGAGCCTAATAACGACTGTGAGACTAGATTTTGTCTGATGGGCTCGTTCGGCAAGTGGAGCTCAGAGTATAGAAATATATGCGCATAATTACTCTTTAAAATGTTTTCGAAATTGAATTTCCTAGTTCAGGTGTACCTTATCACGAGTTTTATTAGACTTGGATCATTACTAGAGTGCAAACAATAGATTGGTTTTTATCTGCTGCTTTGAAAGTCAAAATGGAAAATCATTGCCATGACTATATCTTAATATTTGTACTGATTTGCATACGACTTTAACTTTGATTTTCTCTTAAAAATGATATATCATCTTGACGTTTTTTAGCAAAATATGCTTAAACAATGTAAACTATTCGCGTCCGACTTTTTAAAGCTAATGCCCCTAAAGGTCTCCTAAAACCCCAGATAGATATGATTTTTTTCAAAACGGAAAAAAAATATGATTTTTTTCAAAACGGAAAAAAATCCAGAGAAATGTGTCATGCATATTGAGCATCTATAATCCGTACTCCATCCATGCATTTTATGTCATTTTTTGACAAATATATCTTATGGATTTTTAATGTAACCTTACTGCGGTTTTGCAGAGCTTCTTATTAAGTTTATTGTAAAGTGTTTTATGCTTCATTTTGACTTGAGTCAAAACGGAAAAATTGGTAATGAACGGCGCTCATTAAAGTGTCTAACTACAGTCTGAAAACCACTCTATACATTTAAACATCTGCTGTGAAATAGATAGTGAATTGCTTTTGAATCATACTATAATAATACAAAAACCTACTGGWAAGCCTGACCACAGCCCAGAGCCATTAGTTGSAATACCGTGAGTAGCGAACTTAGCAATCCAAACAATCCCTSCGATAGTGTTSCCAATACCGCACAGAAGGATGAAGATACCACAAATCCCTGCAGCCAAGTAGTTTCCGTCGCCTGGGTTAGCCATGACTCGACTCCGCCAACAAACTTAAACTAACAAAACAGACAAAATTAACGAAACGTTGTCGAACTGAATGACGCAGTAAAGTTCTGCAAGAGTACTTAGATCCGTMAAGTGAATGCGCTATATTGGACCCAAACGTCAATCAATTTGACATTTGCATAAATGAAAAATTTAGAACAATCCAACAAAATTGACACAGTTTTCAACTCTGAAACAGGTCTTACACAKGTACCTTGCTCCAAACAGTTTTCTTTTTATTCGCAAGGAATCTATAATGAGGCCTTATTCCACTTATTTTATGATATAATTTATCGACCAGTAAGTTACCTTGCGCTACAACCATAAAGGTTTTAATCATTACTTTATAGGTATCAATCATTTTCTTTCATTAATTCAGAGATAGCAAAACAACTACCCGAACTAGACTGTAGAAGGTAGCTATTTTTCGGGGGGGTTAGGGAGATTTTGAACTTATACTGATGTTTCCATTGTGTAGGCTACTATACTTTTTGCCCTAACCCTTATAGGTATTTTATGCCTCAGTTGATACCCTACCCCCCACAGATGTGGAAGATGAGTGTTTTTATTATGTCTGGAACCATCTACACCACTGAATAGATTTAATCTGACTGAAATATTCTGATTCATAGATTTAGCGTATTTGCAAAAATTTTGTAAATTTCAAAAAGAGTTAATATAAGTAGATGTCAGGGTGAGTGTCACATAGATCAGGGCTCTGCTTCTTCTGCTTCTTCGTAGGTTTGTTTATATACGCATTTAGATACTGCGATTTAGCTATCAATAAAAATATCTACGTTAGCTGCGTTAAAAAATTGCCCTGAAGCATAATTACGTCACTCCAAAACATGCTATTGTTTTAATGCTAAGGATTATGGTCGCCAGAGGGGAACAGAGTAACTGTATATCAAATAAAATGTATATTAGCTATCATTGATAAATAATGTACATCAAAACTCGATACACTAAAGTTCTACTTTCGGAAAGAATGTTAATACGTCCAAATTTCGAGTCTTTCTGAGCATCTTTCACAATGTAAATATACTGTGACGTCATTATGCCATAGGGCAAATAAAGCTCTTAATTGTTGGTATACGACAGAACAACAGCAATGCATTTCGGTCTTTCATCTTTTTGTGAAATAGGTGCATGTAGCTCCTGGTTACCAAGGTGTTCYTTGTTGTAGCGAATGGACAGACAYGCTGYCCTACGAGAAGTTTGGGTAATGGCTTTCTTTGATACCATGTCCGTCATGAGAAGTCTTTAACACTCTTTTTTTTCCAATAATGTAATTAATTTTAGCTTGACATTTTCCTTTAGTATATATTTTTACATTTTTATTATTTATCAGTTTATCTTGATATATATTTTTATGGTATATATTTTTTGAATTTTGTAAATGACGTGCACATTTCAGCCTATGGCTGCGAGGYAATTGTTAATAAACTATTTATCTAAGCTTGGTTTAGTTAACTCACTTTACAACACTTTGTTTCACGGGTTAGAGCAGTTTTCATTAAACTCCAAACAGTAATGGTCCAAGTCAGTGAAAGTGCCGGGTATTAAAGAAAGACATGGAAGAATAAAGCTAGTAACAAAGTGAAGCCTTCACTTTGTTACAGTGAAAACCACTCCAAGGCCTCGCTCAAAATGTTCCAGTTTCCTCAAGGTAATTTTAATATAAATTCCAGACCAATAAATGCTTTCCTGATGTGTAAATTTGAGGGGCGTTTTTGTGCTGTYCTGAATTCCCTTGAGGATTGGCATTTCAAGGAAATGAACCCGCACAAAAAGTCAAAAACGCATGTCCCAAACTATGGTAGATTGACACTGATAACCCTAATCAGGAGCCCATTACTAGGAGCCTTCCTCTTCCCATGGGCTTGTRGAACGGCATTTACCCCTCTTGGTGCTATTGTTATAGCCTTCAAATTGCACGATTCCGAAGTTGATAACAATTTTATTAATCTTTCTTCTGAGTACTTGTCCACGACAATCTTTACAAGCTTCTTGTCCGAGGGTTGTCTAATACTACTTATCTCTTGCTAATCCTATATCATACGTCATACATGACGACAAACTTGAGGTCATCACACTATTTTTAGATTTTCCCGCCATTCCCCGCGCGCTTATTGAGATGCCGAGTTGTGAAGAGCCGCCGTCCGCCGTCAGGTGTTTTTAGATTGAATTTTATATTTGTACAAGTGAAGAAATTTTCGCTTGTACAAAAACTATTTTGTAACAAAGGTTCAATGGCACCATTAACTATTATATTCAAATGTCTAAAGATAGTGAAACAGGTATAAAAAATAAGCGAAAAAGCTYATACTAAGAATCGCCATTTCTGGTCTCTTTAAGGCCGTGTCACACGCTGGCGCAAGAAAATGTTCAAGTTGCACGCGTAAATTGAAAATGTACGATCACCTCACTTTCTGTCTCGTTTTCTTCTTCAAAATTATCGCTTTTGGCAAAGATGGCGTCGGGCATCTTTTTTGATTATTACAACAAGTGACARCAGGACAGTCTCGCTTTCTTGCAAGAGAACATGTCACACACGCGTTTTTCCGAAAAGTGTTGAAAAAAGTAGAAGCCAGTTCTACTTTTCTCTCAACAAAAAAAAATATGAAATGTTTAAGTTGCACGAGGGGGTGTCACACGTAAAAAACGCTCGTGCAACTTACAACATTTTTTTTGCGCGACACAAGTTGCACGAAAAAAAACACTAGTGTGACACGGCCGAATTTGCATGTGTAACATTGACATGTGAAATGATCAAGCATGCTCGCGCAATCTCATGTGATTCCTTGCGCAACGTTGCATGCTTCCTTTATCTCTTTCGGACTTATGATCAATTCAAACTTATAGCTGTCGTTTTCAAGCTTTTCTTATTTTATTATATTTGGTAAACTAAACTGTACACTTTTTCACTCGTTGCTCGACTGTGGTTTGTAAGTATAAACTCTCGAGGACTCGATTTAAATGTTKCATGCACACCGTTWATTTCACACGTTCACTCTAGATTGACACTGATACTCCTGATGGATGAAATCGCGTATTCAACCTACCTCAACAAACTGACCGACGYTCATAGCGAACGAGTACGTCAACCAAGCACACATCCAAGGTTTGTTAGGTTTGAAGACCGACTCGAGAAATCAGACTTGACCGAGGAGATCATCAAACAGCATATGAATGGTATGTTTAACGATAACAATACACTCATTAGTCATTCAAATACTTCCGTACAACAAACCATAGTGACCTGACCATAGTTGATAGAGGGAGATGGTTAGGAGACCCGGCAAACTTCATAGGGGCATCTCTTTGTCCAGGTTTATTCGCTTCACGGTCTGTTGAGCGTGCACACAATTCGACAACAGAGTAGAGCAAGTAGAGGAGTTACGAGCCGTTTTAAAACATTGTTCGATCATCGTATCCTGCATTAGTAGAGTTTTAGTAGAAATTCATTAAAAAGTTATGCCAGGGCATAACTGTACTGTATTTGGATGTGGTTTATCATGAAAAACTAAARGTATCGGGATTTGACGATCTGGAAAGAGTCACGAAAATGGCGTGATGCKTCCCGGGGATGCGTGGCCGCTGAAAGTGATCACGAAATGCAGAGAAATTGACCAAAATTTCAGAAAGCAACTACAATATGACAGAGTTTTCATCTTCGAAAAGCATTTCGAACCTGACGATATTGAAATATGTAARTAGAGGCTCATTGATTTATAACGTGTTTTGACTTTTGAGTTGATATTTACATGTATGGCTTGATCGGAAGGGACAGTAGACGCCATCCGGAGTTCCCAGGTCCGAGCTTTTGGCATTTTCGTAAGAACCTCGAAACCTATCGCAGATTTGCTGGGGAGTTGCTAATTGAAAAACCGGAATTGCCCGGAATAAAGAAAGTGGGTCACGACTTGGATAAAGCTATTGCCAAGGGAATGAAGGATATCTTTAAAGATGCCAAAAATGTATGGTGCACACAGCACATAAAAGAGCGTGACGCACACAAACTGAAATCTTTGGGGTGCAACGAGAAGACACAAAGACGCATTCTGACGGACACATATGGGAGTCAACAAGATGTCCTAGGAAGAAGACTTCCAAGCCAAACTCGACAGCTCGCAGTCAGTTTGGGAAAGAATCGCTCCTGGATTTCACGCTTGGTTTATTAAAAACAGAGCAGAAATGTTCAAAACCTGTCTAATACAATCTGTTGAATCACAATAGAATAATATAGAATAGAATATAATAGAGTGGACTGACCCAGAACAGAATATCCACTTGAAAATGGTCGTACCCAGGAGCTAAACGGTACTTCCCTAAACCCCTTAAGGCTCTTACTTCTTCGACGTAGTACTGACAAGGTCTTGGTTAAGAGTGTTGGCGTGCGAGAACGCACCGACAAGTCCGGTGAAGTGGTCAGATACACAGGGAACGTGTACCTCCACTTTCTGACCACGTTTAAAAGACGACGATCAGAAGTTCGAGTTCTCCGCCATCACTGTGCCAAAGCGCACCTTGCAATTTCTCCCGGATGGGGGAGTTGCAATGCTTAAAGCAAAATGGCTTCATGTTGAATCTT